GTGTCCTTGGAATTCAGTGCGCTGGGGGATTGGGGGGGGCGGGGGGGGAGTCGACCCTCATCAGACTGAAGACTCCAGTTAGCATTTGTTACTGTTGTCATTTATCCCATGCCTGGTACTTTAATGACAAAGATAATGACACTTGCAGCTTTATACATATTAAAAGATCCTTAAATGTTCATGACTTGGATATACTATATATAGCATTTAAGTGTTCACCTTTGCTTATCATCACAAAGATCATCACAGATGTATCTTTGTCGGCTCAGCAGCCATATATTGTTCCGACTCTTGGGTGGGGGCTCTGTGGGTGAGTCCAGAGGAGCCGCCTTCTATTTTGAACCCCCCTTGGGGGGGGGAATCCCTACAGTGGGAGATGGGATTGAGATTAGGAGAACAGGCCCCTGGGGTGCCCCGTCTCGGGCACTAAAAGGCTCCCTGTGTTTCTGTCCCTTGGAGTCAAGCTCCTGAGACACAGTTACCCTTGACTGCCATCCTGTGAATGGGAGTTTTTGTCACCCTGATCCGTTGTGTGCTTCATCTGTGTCACAGAGGGGTTCCTGTAAGACACTGCTGCTGTAATTTTGTCATCTGTTAATATGGGAACACTTGTATTATTTCTCCAGATGTGGTTCTTCAAGACTTCCCCCCCACACACCTCCTCATTTACTCCTGTTAAACACTGACTTGTTTTTCTGCCTGTGACAGTAAGTGTGGATACACCCGATTCTGAATAACAGATTCTGCATTACATGATTTTGACCTCGTTACCGGGTGGACAACATTTGTCAAGAAAGACCAGATCTGAGGATGAGATTTGTCCTTGGGGAAGTTGATGGCAAAAGTGATTTAGCGGAAGCAGGATTTCTTCTCGCTACTTGCCTTGCGGTAGGCCTCTAGCTACGATGTTTTCCCTAACTGCTGCCGGGCACCTTGGAAGGGTAAGGTTTGTAAGGAAAGGCGGTACTTTGTTTAACAGAGGGATACAGTTGGAAAGAAAGAAACCAGCTTTTAGACACACCAGCTCTGAACACCTTTAAACCGTCACAGCTTTTAATGAGCCAGGCCCTGTAAGATGAGCCGTTCCGAAAACATGATTTCAGGAATTTCAGGAGCAGTATGATTCTTTTTATTTTGTAATTGAAATTCTGAATGGTCCAAATTATGTTTAATGGCTTCTATTAATCACCACTTCTCCTATTCCTCTTCCGTAAATGCTGATCCTCAGATTTTCTTTTAGACATAAATATTTATGAAAGAATCTTACAATCCTTATTCATGAGGCAAAAGCACTGTACTACCAGCGTAACTGCATATTCTCTGACTTTTATCAAAACAAAGTCACCAAAAATCCACCCTGAGTGACAGAGCAAGAATGTCTAATATGGACCTGGTGTGACGGTACGTCTCCCTCTCCCTCGGGCTTGGTACAGTGTTTATTGCCAGTGTCTAAGCAGTAGCCTGCTCGTTCCAGAGCATGCTGCATCGAGATGGGCACCACAGTGAATTTCCTATTCCCTACTGTAGCTTTTCTTTAACAATTTCATTAAAGCTTGTTCAGCTTCAACTATAGCAGCCCTGGTATCCAGCTTCTCATCTCTTCTACATCATGACATCTAGAGGACAGTCATAAGAGTTTGCTTTAGCCATCGTGCTATGATTTTACCACAGGGCTTGTTTGCCTGAGGGGTGCTTGCAGCAATGTTTGGTATATCTTGCAGCATCATTTTGCCATGTTTGTGGCTTGAAGTTCCAAAATAATTTTTTTTTTTTTTTTTCATTTCTAAGGCACAGACAAAGCAATTTTTGTCAGCTGGCCTTTTTTCTTTTCTCAGTATGGATGATTTTAAAAAGGAATTTAACACGAATAAAATATGGTCTTTTCCTCCCCTTCTTATTAATAACCAAATCTTAATTGTTTATGTGTGTGTGGAGGGTACTGAAGGAAGGGAAGAGACATGTGCCCTTCATTGACATTACAGTTCAAGCATACGGTCATGCAATCAAAAATGTTATTGCCATTTTTCCTTGAAAAATATCTTGATAGCAGCACTATCTTCCCCTAAGGACAGGGGAGGGAGTTTCTTGACTACATGTATGTATAATTTGCATTCTGCCTGAGGTATGGTAGATCTTGCCAAGTGAGCAGATCATAGAAAGCGCCTTGTCTCGGTGAGGCAGGTATGCCATCTGCTGCGGAAGATAGAGAATAAAATCAAATACCATTTGAGAGAAGAAAAAAAGTGTGTGAAAGAAACACTTCTCCTAAAATATTACCTCTCCTGGAGTTTTGGTTTTTCAGGAAAGAAATTACCACAATTCAGGCTTTTAGCCCAAAACTTGGTTTGAAAAAAGAAACATGGTACAGAGATGGGCAGATTTTTCTAGGTTTCTTTTGCCATTTCTAGGCTACATCAAAAGAAGCCAAAAGGAGCCAACTATAATTTGTAATGTGCAAGGGGAGGGGAGGGAAGTTTCAGGAGAAATAAAGCTTATCTGGTCCCAGACAGAGAGTAGTCCCAGCATCTCATTGCTCCCTTGCACAGACCCTTCCTTCAGACTAGGTTAAGTAGAAGTAGGCCAGGGTTTCCTCTCTGATTTTGGCCTCACAAAGCAAACTTTTCAAGGCTCTGTTTTTAAGTTCTTGCCATCTCCTACCCAGCCTTGCAGCAGTAGGTGTAGATAACCTCTCCACTGATCACATGAGCCCGACCCGGCTAGCAGAGGAGAGTATCAGGATTTGCAACATCCCCAATCACTGCCAGACTATGTAAGAGAGCGAAGAGCATGGCCGGATCCAAAGGGAACTGTGAGTTACAATTCTTTTGACAGATACAACAGTATGGAAATCTCAGCAACACTTTGTTTGCCTAGTAAATCCCAAAATACAAATGATTTAATGTAAAAAATACCTCCTCTGCTATATTAACAGGGCTTCCTATCCTTGGCCACACTGAAGTTTAAAAGCTCTTAACCCCTAGGTGGCACTATCTAATAAAGGAAGGCATGTTTAAGTGCTAGTTCCCCCTACTGGTGGAGATGCTATTAAAAATGTAAATGTGTAAATTTGAGTATATTGAATGCAGCTATTAGTCTCAGCTTGATCATCCTCTTTTTCTGAATCTGTCTCTCAAAGTCAGTAAAATATACTGCTGTGAATCTCATTTAAATACAGTATTTTTGCTTTCAGAGCGCTATGGGATGTATTTTCCTGGAAAATTGTGGTGCATCACAAACTATTCACGTTTTTGTTCTGTCTGCGAGCAGCAAATAAACCAGCATAGGCTATGTTTACTTTAGCAATTCACTTGGAGCAGCAGGAGTAGATTGTCAGATGTAAACAGCTGGTGCTGAGGTCCCTCACATCTGCAGTATATAACTCCGCATCAGGTGGCGACTGGCCCAGCACCACACATCTCCATTACACATTTTGAAACTCCCTGAAGTAAA